CGCCCTGAGTTGTGTGGAGTGCGAGGGCCCGTTCATCGCTGCTTGCAGCTTTAATTTATCTTGTTTATGCAGGCCATCTGGTGAATGGTTTTACTGACTGTACACCACATATACCACTCACCATAAATCTGTACATATACTGTATGCACGGGGGAGGAAGTATTCCGTTGTAAACTAATGCATTACAAGTAAAACTCCTGTGTTCCAAAGCAAAAGTATCATTGCTAAAGTTTCACCATGGAGAGTGGTTATAATGGATTAACTAAGTAATGCACAATAAGGTTTTCTGATATAGAGCTAGGACAAGCTGGAGACAAAGATTGCCAAAGAGTGCATTATTCCATTTATACAGCAGGTACTTATCAAGCATAGGAACAATTATTTGATAAGTTGACCAACATAAAACTAATAAACAAGAAATCAGTTAATAGTTTTCTAGCAAAAAAGTAAAAAAAAATGCTCTAGTTCGAGCTTTTCAAGTGTGAGGATTTGCATCTTTTCTCTGTTTTCAAGCCATCTGAAGACATCATCGGTTCTGGGAAATTGTGATGGGCGGTTTTTATTATTTTGTTACTTACTATTTGTTAAAATGATTAATCCAAAAATATTTTTTTCATAATGAAAATATTGGTGCATTCCAGTCCTACACTCTTGAGTGTAAGAACGCATTCATTGGGGGTTCATACTGAAAAAACCAAAACCAATCAGTCCTCAGCAACATACAGTAGAAAATATGTAAGAATATATGTATATGTTTATTTTTAATGTATTTCTGTTTGTTGGCCATTATCACGGGGAATCACAGACTGTTCCTTTAAATGTGAATTCAAATGTCAATATAGTCCACAAAACTACGTTCTAAATGTGCACATTTTCATAAATATCACAGAACTGTGGATAATGCACAAAAAATCAGCTCTGATTTGGATCCCCTTCATGTCTATACCATGGTTAAGCCCTTGCTTACACTTATCAAACAAAAGAGTGTGTTCAAGTCGTCCATGTCTTTGTAGTCAGTTTAACCTATGGTTGTATGAAGCGTCAACATTATTGTTATGGTTAGAGTTAAATATACTGTGCAGACTGACTTACAATAAAGGTTTGACTATAAACAGAACTAAGTCTGTGTCCTGATGATACACAGTTTTAACGCACATCTGCCTACCAACAAGTATTTTTTATTGCCGTGATATAATGTATATCTTTATCTTTTAGGTCCATATGGTGCTCTAGTAACTTCAACTATTTCAACTATTTACAGTGTTGGGTAGTTAACTCTACAGTATAGTAATTAGTCAGATAAGTATAATTTTACATGTTTTGTATGGAACTCATTATCGGCAGAGGAACTGTCAAATTAATTATAAAAAACAATGGTTCCCTCTGAAATTTAGTTGAGCAACAGATGCCAGAAATGGACTTTCAAGTGATCTGCATATTATGTTTAAAAAAATCTGACCAAGTAACTGACTGGCTCATTGTCTAACTCAATGAGTGAGAAAAGAACTGCTAGAAGGACTAACTGGGTAACGAGCCCTCTGTGAATCCGTTGATGGTGTATTTGACGTGGTCGTCTGAGGCGTGGCCCTTTGGTTTGTACTTGCTCACTTTCTCATCGAAAACACCAAAGAGGAACACATACTCCTGGTGGATGCCAACCTGCTTCCCCAACTCATCCAGACTGCCTGCAGAAAGAGAGACATCAAAATAATGCCCAAATCATTTAGGTGCAGCAGTGACTGATATTCTGTGCTTCTCAGAGCCACATTTTACCACTTACCAGGCTTGCAGACGAGTAAAGGACCAATGAGGCCTGAGTTGTAGTCCTCCACAACATTTTGGTGGGAGATGTAGTTGTAGGTGAGACAGGTAGGGTCATTTGGCTGTGGAGAAACATCTGATGTCACCTCCCAGTAGTAAACGTGTTCTCTGTTAGGCTGCACTATGTCATCCTCTTTCTCTTTCTGTGACGTGTTGTCAAAGTAGTTGGCTCCTGCAGGAAGTTTGAATAAGAATGTACATAAATAAGACATGTATAAAGACATACAATATACATGAATATGCTTGGAACAATAATGTGTGTATGATATGTTTTTTCCCCCAAAAAAGTATAATTTCCACATTAAATTCCTTAAACAGTAATCTCCTCCTTCTGCCTCATTAAAACTTCCAGAATCTCTGAATATACAAATGTTGTCGTCTAAAGTTTTGCTGCTGGACACA